CCCCCCCCCCCCCCCCCCCCGTTATGTAGAAGGGGGGCGCCGTTGCCACTTTCCCCTGGAAGTCGGAGCGCTCTGAAGCTTGGCGGTGCCTATTGTACAGTCAGCCAAGCCGAATCTAGTGGATTAAAAGTAAATAAAGATATAAATAAAACAGACTTCTTCCAGCCTCGGTGGAATCGTCCTCGGCAGCCTCTAGCTATCTCCCTATCTATCTCTCCCTCTCTCTTAGTTTGTATTAAAATAAAAGGCAAGCCAAGAGCACGCAACCTAAAAAGGCACGCACGCAGGCTACAACTCAGCCCTCTTCTTGCTTATGGATTCCTTTAAAGGTGGGATGAATTTGGAAAGGCTTCCCGACAACCTGAGACCCCCTCAGGCGTCCCACGACATGGCTTCCAGCTTCCATTTGCAGAGATCTTCCGAAGGCAGAGAACCGATCGAGAACTCGGCCAGCGAATCTTCGGACACCGAAGTCCCAGGTAACACTCAGTTTGTGACGGTGGGGTGCCGCGGTTTACGGGAGGTAGGCAGAAAGACCCCTGCCCTCCCCAGTCCCTGTCGAGGAGGACGCGATCCGGCGAGAGGATTCGCTTTCAGAGCAGAAGCAAGTTAGGGGCGCCACAGAACTCCTTGGTTTCGGCATGGGAACGAGGCATGGCGAGATTAATCGCACCCTCTCGGTTGTGACACCATTTGCGCTCAAGACTCCCGGACTAACTGGGCACTTTTATTCTTTCTCTCCGAAAATGTGCAGCTCCTGAGTTTCTTTGAGAGCCTTCCGTTCGGGCTCCGGTTTTTACAGCACGTTTCAAAACTCATGGCAGTCCTGTTGGGTTTATTTTCCAGTCTGGATAGCGTAGACATGTAAAAGGATCTGTCTGTCGAGCGGGGTGGGGGGGCACCCATCAAAATCCCGGGAGAAGAAGAAGGTGGCGGAGAAATAAGGAGAGCGTTTCAGGCCCGGGCGAGGGAATGCGCAGACTCTTATTCCTCCCGACTTTGCTTTTAATCCGAGATGTTTTTGTCGAGGAGAGGCATTTTCAGGAGAGGGCTCTCTAAAAGGGCACCGGCGGCAGCTTCCCTCCGCCTTTAATCAGCCCCACTTGCAGGTGGACGGGCGTAAATTGCCATCCCCGAAGTAACGCCAGTTACGCTCTCCAACGTTGGCAATTGCTCCGTAAATGCATGAAAGAGCCTCTGCTCCGAAGAAGTGGTTCTCTTCGATTTCAGGGCAAGGGGGGGTTCCAAAACGTCCCGTCCCCCTGCCCCTCATACATGTGCACAGCAGTGCTGCTTGCTTGAGAAAGTTCCCCTGAGTGCTCCACGGTTAAAATCTTGGGAAAGTTAACTCACTGGAAATGAGTAAGACCAACGCCTCGATGACAGACCGTAACCCAGAGCGAATCCTTCATGCTTCTCCTTTCCCACCATCTATGTTGTGAACAGCAAACTAAAACACCTAAAAAAGAGGTGTCGCTGTACTGGTGTGCACCTTGACACTCGTGTGTTGGTGAGACAGCCCAAGCCTAGAAAGGTGTTCTGGGAAATAGTAGATATTATTATGGGAAAGGACTTAACTTTCAAATTAGAGTAGAGTAGAGCCCAATTTTCAAACTCCATGCAGGACTGAATAAATCTGAGTTCACTAAAACTGAAATAAATTTAACACACAGTCCTGCAAGTCAATCCCAGTTTATCACTGAATTTAGGCTTGTGCTACCCCGGGACTAGCCCAGCGTAATGTTTACAGTTGCATTAATAACTGCGGCTTAGAAATAATTTCCCCAAGCAAGGGAGAAAAGGGTGAAGAGAAGTAGTTCTTCTCCAGGATATCAAATGCATTCTGGTAATGCCTACAGAACCAATAGGAAAAATAAAACAGGGAACGCTGCTCATTTTTAATATTAGAGATCAGATTAAAAGGAGCCTGGGAATTTGAACAATAACAGGGCAAGTCAGATTGCTCTGAAAAACAACACCATTGCCTTTAGATTCCCTTAGAAATAAATTTTAGGCTTCTTAATGAGTCCACAGATAAATGAGGGAACGCTGGTTCGGGCGGCCCCAGCAAAAAAGTGGCGCCTTCTTGCCAAGGCATGTCATCGCTTTTTTTTTTTTTAAAAAGCAGCTGTTTGCAAGCAGCAGGAGAGCCACGGCAGCGTGTTTTTGCCCAGCAAGATGAGGGTCCTTATGATTGTGTCTGCTTGCTGGTTAGGTGCTAAATCCTAGCTCCGAAGGGCAGAAAGGGCTCCGGTGAGCAGGGCCTGCACCTTCCTTGCTTAGGCCCATCCGAGCTCAGCTTTCACTTCTTGTCTGTGGAAAACAGCGTGAAGGCCAATCCAAATTAAGCTGGTCTGGGCAATGATTCTGGAGCCGAGTCGAGGTCCAAGGGAGAAGACGGCTGTTCGGAGAAGCCGGGCAAGGCCAAACGGGTGGAGGAGGGCTAAACTTACCACCCCCCTTGGGGACGGATGGTGGGACTTAAGAAGCTGAACCTTTGGAAAGGTCGCCTTGGGGCGGGTTGGCTCCCTGCCACCTCGCCCTCAGTTTCCCCTCTGCCATCCCTCAGCTCCGGCCTCAAGAAGAGCCGAGTCACCACCAACTTGGTCCCGAGCTGAGCCCCCTTTTCCTTGGCCCTGCTAGGAAAAAGGTGTGGGTTGTACGAGGCCTAGGTCAGGCCTTGGTGGGTAGGGAGGAAAGGGGGCCTGGCTTGGAGGCGACAGTCACTGCCTGCACATCACCAAGGTCGGCGGGTCTGGCGGGGGGGGGGGCGTCGTTGGCTTTGCGAGCTGCTCCCTACCAAGAGTGGTCGTCCAAGCCACATTGCAAGAAGACCACCTTGGGTGTTCCTCGGAACTGTTTGTTCTGGGGGGGGGGGATTATAGCACATTTATTTAGGGTTTTCAGTATACAGAATAGCCTCCCAAGCTGATTTATACAATGAAGCCGCCCAATACCTTATGGGATCACTTATTTATTTGCAAACAGTAGATTCGGGGTCAGCTTGGTGCACACAGATCAATATGAATTTAATCTCATCAGCGTCTGCCCGTGCTCCTTGTTCATTTTTCTTTCTTTCAAGAGGCATAAATAATTTCTGCATTTTTATGTGGCATCTGATCTTGCAGAAATTAAGCCACTGAGCTCCTCTCTCATTTCAGCAAGGAAGTGAAGTACTTACTTTTATAATCTGCTGAAATCAGGGGAACATAAAGAGCTTATTTTTGGAGGAACCATGCCTACAGTTTGACTTTTCAATATAAAAAGGATGTATAAATATTAATGTGTATGGGGCTTGTGGGTGTTAGGCCTATTTAAGCATACAAATACAATAGATGCATATGACAATACATAAATATCAAAAAAGGGACTTTGCTAAACACCAGGAGAGGGAGGGAGAAAAAGAGAATATTTTCTTAAAAAATCCCTCTGACTTTCTTCAAATACATGACAGAGACCCACAATTCCTTTACTACACACTTTAATTTGAGTCATGCGTTGTATTTTAAGCAGGCAACTAAAGAAAGCAAATGCTGCGGATTGTTGGCCAGGTCAGCTGGAGCCCCCTACATAGAAGGCTCTGTGTAGTCCTAATTACAGTATATGCAAACTGCAAATGGACACACACAAGCATGTTTCCAATACTCTTTTGAAATACTTACATAATAACAATTTAGAAATTGATTGCATATCCAGAGTTGTGTCATCATGATGAATGAATCTATTAATCCTCTTTAAATGCTAACTCAGCCTTGAACTTTTCTCCTTGGATGCAAGTCCGATAGGCTTGAATGATTATTGCTTCCATGTAAAAGCCTCTCCACCGGGTTGCAGCCTATACTACTTCAGTGACGGTTGCACAAGCAATTTAATTAGGAGTACTTGGACTGAGAAGACTCTGCCTTAAGTCATCTCAGGAAGCATTCTTTTCCAAGTCCCATTAGACTCACTAGGATTTATATAGCAGATAAGATCCGGCTGCAAATTGGCTGGTTTGAATATAATTTCGTTATAAAAGTCTTAGCATTAAGGGATATTTAGTTGACTTGTTGAGATGTTTAATTGAATAGCAAGTTCTTTCAGAAGTTGGGTCCACTGAATTCAGCTACACTTTGTTGAGGAGGCATGGATCTAAGCCTTAGATGGTACAATATCCTCTGTGTGTGTGTGTGTGTGTGTGCATGCGCCTTCGAGTCAGTGTTGACGCATGGTGACAGCCTAGACAAGTCCCTGCAGTTTTCTTGGCAAGGTTTTTCTGAAGTGGTTTGCCATTGCCTCCTTCCTAGGGCTGAGAGAGGGGGACCGGCCTGAGGTCACCCAGCTTGCTTTGTGCCTAAAGTGGGACTAGAAGTCCCAGTCTCCTGGTTTCTAGCCTGATACCTTAACCACTACACCAAACTGGCTCTCAGAAGAATATCTCAGAAGAGTATCCATATACTCTGTAACAATTCACTTCAGTTACACAGATAAATTACACTGATATTCTTAACTATCCCTATATCTCATTCCCTCCAAGCAGTGGGAGCAACCTTCAGTCGATTTAACCAGTGAGTATATGCTCTGAACTAATGTGAATCGTTTGCATCTGGAAACTGCCATGCATTTTGAAGATAGGAGCTAAATGCACCATCACACTTCTTGCCCTGAAGCCTATGAAGGTTGGGGCTTGACTGAGGTCTGATCTTGACTGGAGCCTGATTTCTTCCCACCCCCATTTGCCTCAGTGATTAGATTGAGGGCATGGTCTTCATGACAATGGGTGTGTCACTACGAATTTGTACAAACTTTAGCCATTAACGTACAAACACATTTTATGTTTTGTGGGGAGCTTTATGTACAAATGCATCTTTTGTATTTTCGAACAGAGAAAAAACAAATTTATACAATCTCCTTATCTCAAAAGCTTAAACAGAAAATTTGTTTTCTTAATGTTATATCATTTTAACTAAATATAAATATGGAAACTCATATTTATAACTCCTGAAAACTCATCCTGAGGGTAGAAGTTCCAAATTCCCAAGGTATAACTACCCCTGTCTTTTCCTCCCACTCTTCCAGTTTATGAAAAAAAAAAAGTTTGTTCTCTAAATTGTTATATCACCCCTGGGAGAAGTGTATATTGTAATCTTTGTAAGTTTAAACACTCAGCATAATAGAAAAATGCCCCAAGACAACCAAAGTGAGCACTGAATTTCTTATTTTTAGAGACAGCAAAGATTCTGAGATGATTTGTAAATGAAATTTTATATCATCCCAATTTTATTTTTTTAATTACATGTAATACTGTAAAGTAATTTTTAAAAAGTATTTTTCCCTATTTTGTAGCTTTCTGAATCTTCTATACAGAACAGCACTGTTAGATCCAGCTCCAGATTATCTCTGGTCCTTGTTTTTGTAATGGAAAAACCCTCTGTTCTCCAAACTTCAAACTTTTTGAAACAGAGGAGCTGGTTCCCATCCAGGCCTTCTCGCTGCTGTGAAATGATGTATAATTTACGGAAGATTCGGGTTACAGAACAGCAATTCAGACTTTTGAATTAGTCAGCTTGTTTGCAGGGGCAGGGTTGCTGGCGGTTTCTTGGGTTAAAAAGCCTAGAAGTCCTTTGATTTTTTAATAATAATAGTAAAATACTAATACTAATACTAATAATAATACCCCAACCAATCCTTATTTTGCTCTCCATCTCCTGGGCCCTTTTCTTTCTAGAAAAGGAGCCAAGTGGCGTGCAGAAAAGCGAGGAGGGGAGCACAGATGACCCGGCGAAGAAGAAGAAGCAGAGGCGCCAAAGGACTCATTTTACCAGCCAACAACTGCAGGAACTGGAGGCCACTTTCCAGAGGAACCGCTACCCGGACATGAGCATGAGAGAGGAGATCGCGGTGTGGACCAACCTCACGGAGCCCAGAGTCAGGGTGAGCCACCTCCGCGGTCACCTTTCCAAAGCTTTCCCTCGTCACCCCGTCCCTTGCCCCGCTGTCCTTCGAGCTGAATCTGTCGCAGTCCCTCACCTTTCCCGGGTACAGGCTGTCTGGGAGCGGGCCTTGACTGGCAGTCAGCCCATCCTGTCCCACTGGGTTTCCCTCGAGTAAGCCGTGTCGGCCTCGGGCGCAAGGAAGCCGGGAGGGAAATCCGGTGGGAGCGAAAGAGCCTCGAGGCTTACTTGCAGGTTTTTCCCTCCGAACGCCGGAGGTTCGGGCGCGCGAGAGGCTAGGTCTCCGCGCGGCAGGGTGGCGGGCGCGGAGGAGGCCCGCGGGTTCAATCTGCGCGCGCAGCCCTCTTGGTGCAGCGTCCGAGGCTAAGAACCGCTGGACTGTGTTTAAAGTGGGCAGGAGGGAGGCCAGTCCTGATAAAGGCCTGATCAGGGAAAGGATAGTCCGTGTATCTCCTCCCTCTCTTTGCATACCCCGCATTTGAAACGCCTCCAAGCTTCTCAGGTCCGGAAAAGCCCACAGAGAAATAAAAGCAACAATTCTGTGAGCAGATATAGGGGGGAAGGCCCCTTGGAGCACAGCGAGGGTTATTTCCCCTCTTGGCATTCCAATATTATCGGGCGTCGATTACAGCACAAGCATGTGGTACTGAATTGCTGCCTAAATTCGGGCGCCTCCTCTCCCCGCATTTTATTCGAAAGCTCACGGAGGTTTGCTTGCGCGCCAGGATGTCTAAACGGTGACTCTGAACCCACTTACTTTGAAATAAGCTCAAGGGTTACCGGCACCTCACCATTCCTTCTGAGTACAGTAGATGTACTATAGAGAGCAGGTGGCGAAGCCGGGAGAAATTCTACTTAAAACAAAAACGGCGAGTTAAATCCAGGTTTAGGCTCTGCTTAGAGGAGAGCCGCTGAAATCAGTGAGCCGAGTTGTCCACACAGATAAGTCTCCTTGATTTCATTGGGTCTCTTCTAAATAGGATTATTTCTTGATTAGTTGTTGGATCCTGTATTATTTGTTGGATCCAACCCTCTGGACCCAAACATTTTCAGGCCTTAGATGTGACAACGAGGCTCTCCAAATCCGCCAAAGGGGACGCCCAATGCATGCTCCTAAATCTTGGCGGCGCAATTCCGTGGTGGGTTAGTCCTGAAGAAAGTTCCCATCCAATCCAATCCCATCCCATCCCATCGGGGCTTCCGTAGAACTGCATGGAGCATCCAAACGGGGCTTAAGCCTTCCCGGGAGAATCCCTCTAGGCACCAACCCTGGCAGTTTTCAGAAGCGAGGTGGTGAGCAGATCTTGAATGACAATCTTAATCAGCAATTCCTGGTGGGAAAAGGTGCTTCTTCAGATGGCTTCTTGGAAATGAAATCTCTCCCACCTCCCCTCTATTACCTTGAAGTAATAGCCTTGCTAAGATAATGCTAGTAGGGTCACAAGCTTATTTATTTATTTATTTGGTGGCCTGGGAAAATCAGAATTTAGCCAGGACAGACACACATTGTCCAGGATTTACTGTTCTTCCCTGGATTGTTGAAATGCAGCCATTTAATAACAACAGAAATTCTAGTTCATCTTCGGGCGACCGTGGTGGAGGAAGAGAAGATACTCGCCTCCGGGTGGGTGGGTTTTATGAATGCGTTCTTTTTCATAGGAAGGAGGAATCTTTAAAAACACGTAGATTTTTTCCGAAAGCCAGGTGAACGAGGAAACCTTTTTGGTCCCGCTTCCTCCTTGTCTAAAAGGGCGAGGAAGCTTCGGGGACGCACGTGAGTGTTTCTCCGTGGATTTCGAGAGATGCGAGTTTAGCTCTGACTGTAAATGGGAAACTTCAGGAGACGCGCGAATAGGAAAAGATTCGGGGCAGCTTTGTGTCCACGTGCGATGAAAGATGCAGATTACGAGACTGGCTGGCATGGCTGGAAAAGAATCCGAAGATCCCATTATGACTCAGACATTGACCCCTCGATGGAGCTACAGTATGGAGATATTGGGTTTAAGCCCTGGATTAATCAGGACGTGGCCAAAAATGTAGCTATAAATAAAATGCGAGTATTGGGGTTGCTTTGATGGGCAAAGGCTTTTCAGTCAACACCCCCCCCCCCCCCCC